AGAACTAGATGCGCCGACGGGACCAAAATTACTGAGATCAAATTTCGCATTTGGTGAATGATTCTCGATCGATGTGCTTATATACTGAAAAAGAAAACTTCCTAAACCACCCAGTTTATGTACTTGCAACTAAACTTATATCGATGTTGAACAAGTCGTGCAAAACCACAACAGATGAAAGCTTGGCGCCGAATGTTTATGTGAAAAATGCGCAAAAACGGGTGCCAAGCTGAATAGGACCTAGACTGAAGTAGACGAACGCTGGATGGATTCCGAATTAAATGGAAGTATCTGGCCGGATGTATTGATGAATTTACATGATGAACCCACGAATTTATGCACAAGTCAGAAAAATTGGAAATGTCCAGCTGCGTCAGTGACTAAGCGAAAAAACAGTAATTTCATCCCAATTTTCATTATTGAAAGAATTTTCCGCATTCTTAGTGCGCGTCAAATTAATGAGAAAGGAAGTGGAGAAATCTTTTCATGCAGTTGCTTCCATCTCTTCCTTCCTTTTCCCTCACTACTCGCTTTTTACTAAGCCGGAAGCGGAAACTCCGAGTTCCTAGCTTGCCTCATTTTAAAATTAAAGGAAGCACAAATGAACCTTAACAAATGTTCTAAAATAAACATAATTTTTCGAAAAAATTACCTTTTCACCAGCACTAGCAAAGCCAAGTTCCCCAGTACCACCACTGCTTTTACCCGGTAGAAAGAGGACATCCACATCGGTTGTCTTATCTTCCAGACCCACTTTCACGTCATATTCCACAAATGCTCCTGGGCCGAATTCCACCCATTTGAACGGTGTGTCGCATCGATCACCGCCATAGCCCGGATCGCACGAACATTTCGGAACGTTGGACTGCAAAAAAAACTGATTTAATCTGCGGTACCCAATTAACACGACGACCCAGCCAGAACCCAAGAAAAAATTCGATTTCTGAATGCAGCGCTAATGACAAAATAAAATGATCAGAGCGATTCCTTCCGGCGAATGTAGGATCTTTTTGTGCCGATCTGATTTTGAATATTTAACAATAAGGGGCCCAGAACCGACATCGATTTTGAAGCAAACCGCAGAAGTTTGAGTGTAAACGGTTGCTACTGGCAATGTGCTACCGACCGGCCTAGTTTCGAAAATCTGTACCCTTCGAATAAGAGTGAAACATGAAGCGATTTTGATTTCCTGACTTTTCACATCGATGGGTGCTAACTGAAGGTATGCAGCTCA